TTATCTCATTACAGATGATTCCATTTTCAGCATATGGGATAAATTTAAGGCTAAATAACCTGTCTACACACATTCAACAACTTTTACAGCTCATTACCTGCTTTTAGAGAAAGTGTTTAAGTTCTGTCTGTACTCAAAGTAAGTAAACATAACAATTGGCCCTGTATGTTGTTTGTTATGTTTGTATAGATTTTCAAATACAATCAACAATCATTATATTTTTACTTGTATAGGTAATTGAATTTGGAGAACTGGACAAACCCAAGGTGCGTTTCCTGCGTCAAATGCTGATCAAGCTTCTGAAGGAGACTGAGCCTGAGGACTTGACAAGTATATTTGGAAAGTAAGTAACAGGATGTAAGAATCATGGGACATTCAGATAAAACAAACTGCTGTTGGCAATTAACACTATTGCATGCAGATGATATTAACCTTTGGTACTTTGCTTGTAAAATGGCTTCACTTTACTATGTAACATGTGTGCATTAGAAATCAATGTCCTCCATTGTTTCTTCACCTTCAGGATCTCTGGAATCTCCAAGTTAGGAATGCTGCGGGAGGGTTTGAAGCTTTTCATCAGCCACTTTGTACTGAAGAATGCCCAGTCCCAGGGACCAGCTGAGCAAGCAGCATTGCTGTCAGAGCGAGCTCAGGTCGCCACCAGCGCTATGGAGGCCAAAGAGGCCAAGCTCAAACTATAAAACCTATGTTCTCACACTGCTCGGGTTGGAGAACTGTTGGATACTGCTGCACACAGCACAGTATGATTATAGACTATAATAAATGGCTATTCAAAGTTTCTTTTTAATAAATACCTTTTGTCCTTTGGCCACTGCAGTCGTGACATTAACAAAAGCAGTGAGTGCATTGGTTCATTCAGTGTTTACACACCCTCATGAATTGACCTAGGGGCTTTAACTCTCTCTCCCATTCTGTTTGCATGTCCACACTGCACATTATGCATGGTTAGCATAGCAGCATCATTCCGTTACATTTTATAAATCTGTCATTAAATTAGATCCATTGGTGTGGCAGTTTTATTTGCCAGGGGTTAAGAATGGACCAGAGAGGCCAGAGAGTCATGTCCCCAATTACCACAGATCACACAGAACTGTGCTTAGCTTACTGTTTATTGTTGACTGGACACCAGTGTATAGTATGTACAGTATGTAGACTATATGAAATAGTGCCACTTTACAGTCAGCAGGGCTGTTGTACTCAGCATTGACTTGACCCAGTGCTGAACTTTGATTCAGTCTGCTTGAGCAAACATGTCTGATAACCACTAGATCCTTCAGTAATCCTGTTACAAATGACACAGAATCAGTCAGTGACCATTTACTTGTTGGGTTGCCATTGCTGAGCATAGATTATAAGAGACGTATTACTTATTTGTCCATAGGCTACCTGCTGCCTAGCGAAGTCTTTCCCCTGCTTTTCTATAGATGTTCCCCTGTTTCTATAGATGTAATTGTTTTGGAAAACTGGAAACGCAGTCAGCTTTGACCAACATATGTTATAGCTTTGTAATAATTCACATATTCCCTAATTTACTGTGGAAACATTTGCAAATTTTTAGGGGAAATAGTTTCACGTTTGTATCTTCTTATAATCTCAAAGCCGATCCGCTGAGTCCGTTATCAGACGCTCAAAGGCTTAATACTTGCCCATTGCTTGTGTGGTGTGAAATGTTTCCTCTGTCTGACTGCCTACTCGCTGTTTGCTCTCACTGCCCGTTTGCACAGATTCGACAGCGCTATTAACAGTAATTCCCATGACCCGAGCTGTCAGAGCAAGGAGAAAAACACAGGGCTGTGTGCGCTTCCAGTTAAGCCGCTGCAGCCTTGCCGTAAATCAGCCAAACCCACGTAGCGTGTCCACTTTACATAGAAAACAATTTATTTTCACATTGTTATACACACAAATAAAGACGCTAAACAAGACATTTAGCATGCATTTCATAATTATAAATACAATAAAGAGAAATATTTTTCAAGCGTGATGGAACGCTATAGCGTAAAGTACACAGATAAGAGTGTGTGTGGGCCCATATGTGTCAACTCATTGCAAATATATGTAGACGATCTGTGTGCAGTATTATAATCTTCTTTGCTGGCGGTCTGTGGGTGTTCGAGACCAAGGCATTTTTACGATAAAATTATTTATAACTGTGTTAAAGTTAAAGGCTGAATAGCATGCAACCACGCCCCCAGCAGTCTTTTAGTTCGGAAGGAAGAGAGGAGACAGGTTCAGGGCACGGACTCGTGTCACTGGTATGATTCCTCTCATCATCAGAAGAGCAGTCTGAGGAGTTGTATAGGAAGTTGTCGCCATCTTCGTCGTCGCTGTCTCTAAAGTCTCTTATTCTGCCGTTCTTGGAGTCTGTCTTGCTGTGATATTCTGACTGATCGAGTCCGTCTGATTTCTCCTGGCCCTTACTGCCCTTCTTTTTTCGGCCTCCTGGGCCTGTTCTTTGGCCTTCTTACTCCTCTTCCACTTCATTCGCCTGTTTTGGAACCATATTTTAACCTGCAAAAGGGGATATATAAAATTTAAAATCAAATATGTGTGCAAGGCGTGCGTAAAAAATCATTTAACATTTTAATGTATAAAAATTTTTTGTGGACAAACAGCATCCAATATAAAATGAAAATAATAATAATAATAATAATAATAATAATAATAGTGAAGCAAATCTTTAGCTTAAGCTTACTTGCGTTTCTGTGAGCATAAGGGACGTGGCCACTTCAAAGCGCTTAGGTCGTGACAGATATTTGTTTAGTTTGAACTGATGCTCCAACTCCAACAGCTGTTGACTGGTGAACGCCGTTCTCGGTCGTCTGCATTTACCCAACAAATTGGATTTGCCTGGGCTGCAAGAATTAATAATAACAGTAAATTATATAATAGAAAATATGTGTGATACAGGGCTATGACAAATATTAAATCGGCTATTGTACATGCAATAGTCATGGCGAATGTAGTAATATAAGCAAAAAATAAATAAATGGCAGAAGCTTGCTGAAATTCATATTTCCACATCTGTCTCAGACTAAATGTCAATAGAGGACTGTGGCTCATCTTGAACAAATCTGCTAAAATGGGTCGAGACACAAAAGGCAGTATCTGGTGAGCAAATAGCATGAGCACTGTGGGTTTCACACTGCTCTGCCACTTTCCCACTGTCCATTATTTGTCCATTTTAGTTCCTCCTCTAAGAAAAAAAAATCCTTCTGATATCTCTCATTTCTAATATAATACACAACATGCAATTTTTAAACAAAAAAGAACATCAAACACGTGGGCTTTGATGATGTACACAAAAGTACGCATACTCACAGTTAAAATCGGACATTTTGGGCAGCATCATGCCGGCCGTGGACACGCGCAGCCAGTGGTCCAGTTGAAACGTGCTGGCCGAGAGTTTGATGGGGTCCGTGGCGTGATGATGATGCGAACCGTGCGGGTATGGGTAGGACAAGGCGGGGTGTTGTCCAGTAAGAGCAGCGGCGGAGTATGTGTACATGGGGTGGCCGTAAAGAGCCTGAGCCTGAGCTGGGATACCCCGCGGGCTTTGGGGAGTGAATGCGGGCTGTTGAGGATCAAGCCTGGTTTAGGAATCAAGCCACAAGTAGAAATCCTCGGAGGAGACGGCGTCTCCGTGCGTAAAGACTCCGCGTTGCTGGTGAGCTCCGCGGCTGCCACACTCACAGACGACGGCAAGGAAGAAGAGGATGACAACGTTGTTACAAGAGCAAGAGGAGAAGTCTGCACTTTGGGTGTATCAACTGCCAACAGCGCGTCAATGCGAAAATTTTTTGATTTCTCCATCCTTTCTTGTGCGCCGTTGCTGCTTTTTTGAGGAGAAGTGAGCGTGTTTTGCCACCTCTCAAAAGTTATGATGTGGTGTGGACTCTGCTTGACACTTATTGCCTATCAGAGAAAGCTCATTGGTGCATCTGCGACCAGAGGGCGGGCCAAGCGCACTCCTCCGCTCTAATTACAGAAGTGGGCAACCAGCAACCTGCCCTCATAACTACGATCGCAAAATGCATTTAAACTGCTTTTTTTTTTTTTTTTTTTTTTTTTTTTTTAAATCAGCAAAAACTAGGCTTAGCGTTCTTCACACGCCTTTTAACTGTCATCAAAGTTGTGCAAATTTAAGACCTATGTTGGCTCTCATCGCATTGAATAGCCCATTAAGCCATCGTTTAGGTGCCTAATTGTCCAGCAGCAAGACTCCATCGCCTGTAGACAGTGGTCATCATTATTAGCCTTTCCTAAACTTTTTTTTCCCACCTTTCTTTCTTTCTTTCTTTTTTTTTAACATTCACTAATTAAAGTTATCCTAAGTGGAACATGGCGTAGTGTGTTTATAAAAGCGTAAAACCCGGGTTTATTAGTGAACATCTTGAAGACAAACAAGCCAACAGGGAAATCTGAGTAAAAGCCCTCCTTCTGTCATATTGTCATATGGAGGCGATGGCCTATTGAAATGGAAATTATTATTCGTTTTGTTTAGACTACTTATACGATGGCAATATATATATATATATATATATATATATATATATATATATATATATATATATATATATATATATATATATATATATATATATATATAATTTGCTATAATTGCAGGTCCATTTGACATCTTGTGGCTAACTATCAAAACAAGTCACATATAGGTCGAATCTTTGACAAAAAATCTAAGTATAACGAGCAGAGAGACGTCGCCTAATCTGGGCTCATGGCTTTTGGTGACTTCGGTCTAATAAGCCACTTAAAGTTAATGGAAGCGGAGGTCAAAATGAGAATTATTGACACCCAGTTGCCCTTAACCTGTCTACCAATAAAGCTGATTAGGTTTTTGTCAATTCATCAGCGGAGCGCACACCGAGGACGTTTATTTGCTCGAGGGAAATCAACAAGTCAGCGGCTAGTTTTCAAGTAAAGGATCGCCATTTAATTATGGACCTTGATGATCATGAGCAATTACAGAATGATAACGGGAAGATTTATGTCTGTACGAGGACGCGGCCCTGTGCGAAAGATCCCTCCAAGACTCTCAAAAGCCATTAATGTGTTATTTGAGAGAAATACATTTTTATCTGACATGCGTATTTTACGCATGGACCTGAACGCGCTTGTTTCACTCCATTATGTAGAAAATAGACCCAGTGGCCTATAATTTGAGAATAAATAAACAACCTTTCGACTTGTATCGCACACTGAGAGTGTTCTTTTGTAATTAGCCACTTGGACCTTGATGATTATCCTAACAGCTTTGCGGCCATGGACCAGCGTCTTGTCCCAACGAATCGCACAGGTTTAATTTCATTAAGGGACTAGGATGAATATTTCTATTAAAGCCGCGGTGAAATATGGAGCCATTTACTATTGGCCTTCACCGATCACGGAGATTTATCGCTCCTTTTCATCACATCTAGGGGAGAGAAAATTAATAAGGGCCTTAGATGGAAGCAGACCCTTAAAACCCCGGTCTTTCCTGAAAGCTGTTCATTTGCTCCGTAATTACTTTCACAATTAACTAAAATACAAATCAAAGTGACAAATTGTGATGCTTTATATATTAATTACCTTGGGTAAATGTGTTCATTATGAAAAGGTTTAAGGATATCCGTGCGTTAGGCTATAGGCCTACTTCTAGTAGACTATTATACATATGATTAATTATGAGTATTGGTAATAATAATAATAATAAAATAATAATAATAATAATAATAATAATAATAATATAATAATAATTATTATTGTTATTTCTAGTTTCTTTCTTGGTCTTCTATGGCCTTAATAGGAATGGGAATTATAATGGCGATTTTTAAAAAGCC